TTTTTGCTCCAATGACCATAATTCATCATACCTGCAACAAAACATAAAAATACCCTTCTTTAAAGTGTAATATTACCAAAATCAGTATAAAATATGTATGAAAATCTCAACATATTTTCCTTTGGTCAGTCATCAAAACAAACTTATTATTAAAACATTAAATGGTGCACTTCTCAATACATAAGTTGAACTGAACAATATGATCATAAATTTTTTCCTTTTATCATTCAATTAAACTAGCAAATAATTACTTAGCCCCCTTATTCTTTTTATGAGCTAGTCTACGCAATTATAAAGGAACTAAATAACTAAATATATATGTGAAAGAGCAAAAAAAATAAGTTACATGTACCATGAACTAAGAAGGTTTCACAATGATAACTCATTCAAGCTTAAGGATCACTCACCTAGGCCTATGAATTACTTGTCGCGTCCAAACAAACTATTCATCGACACTTGCTTAGAGTGCACAATTTCATCTTTATGATGAAAATTCATTATGAATAATATGATTCTATATATCTAGTCAACAAATCTTTGTAGCCTCTCGCTTAGATAGTTGTGCACATATATTTGTTACTATTATGAACATTGTGTTCGCCTATCTATAATTGTCCTCTCATGTATTCTTTTAGTTGTACTAATGAGGTAAAAGTGTAGCACATTTTTTAGCACTCAAAATCTTTTAAATAATGTCCAAGGGGCTATTGTTAGAAAATGAATTTTGTAGGTATTTAATGCTGGAACAATCTTAGAGGTACTCTTTTTAGAATTTTTTTCTTTCTCTCACATCTCTTTATTATTCTTCTCTTTTTCTATTATGTTAGTTTTTGTAAGCCTTCATATGAGGGCACTATCCCAAAAGCTTGACTAGCTTTTCTTTTTTCAAGTTATTTAATGGTGGAAAAAGTAAGACATTTTCTAACTAGTCGACAAAATTTTTTCTCTTTTTTCTAGGTATTTATGCTGGAAAAATATTAAGAGCTACTCATCTTGTCATCTATTTTGCACACATAATACTTGGATAGACTCTGAGAAACTATTTGGTACAATTTAGGTAATCACACTATACTTATTCTCCTAGCAAAATACGACTCTTAAAGCCGTCAACTGCATTCGAGCCAAGATTATGTGGAGAAAACAATGACAAACACATAGACAAATTTAGGGGACCATTGTGTACAACTATCAGAAAGTTATTCCCAAGCTAAGCTGATTCAAATGCCACTATGTATGGTCTATGTGGGAATCTGTTAAGTGTTATTCGTTAACAAAGTAAAAATTTGCTCAACTCATTGTTCATTATACTACCTTTTCTAATGGATTATCACCTGAAGTTGTCCCACCAAACGATTCCAACCCACTTACACATGAGAAAAGGCTTTCATTTGAATCACAACCATACAGTCTCATTCCCCTCTTGTTGTTTGAAAAAGAAGTGCAAGTTGGAGAATGCCAGAGCAGCTAGAGCATTTCTAAGTATATGTAGGATCAATAAAGATAGCAGATGCTGCTTAAATACAAAACACCATGTCTTAATCGAGTGGTGAAAAAAAGGAAGACATGAAGAGGGGAAACAAAATGACCGCCATCCCAAGTATATGTAGGATCAATAAAGATAGTAGATGCTGCTTAAATACAAGACACCATGTCTTAATCGAGTGGTGAAAAAAAGTAAGACATGAAGAGGGGAAACAAAATGACCGCCATCCATGTTTTAAACGTCCATCTTCTATTAGGAGATATAGAAATGTGTGCTGAGTAATGCATTCTTAGTCAGGGGTAGATTCTAGTGCTTCTAATCTTTAATCAAGAGCAACACTTTGGCTTTATTGCCGAACTAATGTTCTTGGGATTGATGATGATCTGCCATCATCTAATCGTGTTGTGTCTAGCTTGCTCAAGAGCTGAACAACCTCATTCATCGATGACAAGTGATGGTATATCGCAGGTACAACACAGTGCTATATGCAACATCTTCATCATCTCTTTCCTGAAGGGGCTCCATGCTAGTTTTTTTATCTAATACATACAATGCCGCATTTTGATTCTGCAACTTGCTCCAGACCCAAGAAACGATGCCCACGCTTTCCCCAAACCCAGCTTCATTGGGCTTCTTCCAGTACAACACCAAAGCTATACAAATCAGACTTGGTAGTCGCTTTAGATGAGTAGGCATACTCTGCTAAGTGAACTGAGTTATTGACAAGAAGTGTTTTGTAGGATTATAGTAATATTTGCAAGTAAGCTGGCTACTTGGGGCCAAGTATCATTAAGTGCCAGCAATGATAGTTGTGGATGAGCAGTCCTCAACTCCTACTTACAAGACCTTAGCTATTCCAAATCAACAATCTTTGGTTCAAAATCTGTATCAAGGAGTATGTTGGAGCTCTTGATGTCATGTTGCACTATCTGGAACAAGCGATCATGTTGGAGATAAGCTGGGCCTTGCACAATTCCGAGCGTGATTCTGTGCTTTTTTGGCCTGCACAGGAAGCTGCAGTGATTGTGAAGAGCATCCTAGAGATTTCCATTTGCCATATATTCATAGACGAGAAGATGGCATTCAAAGCTTGAGAGGCAACAATACAGTTTTATAATGTTTTTGTGTTTGATTTTTCCTAGAGGCTCAATCTCTGCCCTCAATTCTCTCTCAAGGAAAAATTTTTGTTTTGTCATGATCTCCTTCACAACTACACACTCCCCATTGCTAGCCTCAATTGTGTAAACTATTCCAGTTCCTCTAAGACCCACAATGTTCTTATTAATCAATGTTGTGGGGATCTCATGCTGGTCGAATTTGAGCTTGCGGAAACTCGTTTTCCTCTAAGACCCACAATGTTCTTATTAATCAATGTTGTGGGGATCTCATGCTGGTCGAATTTGAGCTTGCGGAAACTCGTTACATCATAGGAGTAAAAGGAAGATGATGAGCGACAATTGATGACCTTGTTCTTTTTGCTAGAGAAACGCTTAATGAATAATAGGATTTTGAATTTTGGTAGAATTGCAGAGACTGAGATAGCCCAGATGTTTATCAGCAGGCCAGATGTCTATCATCAACCTACTGACTTTTGGCTATGGACAAAGGGGAAGAGTCGGCTTGGTATGTTCAGATGAATCAGAATGCAGAGATTTGGATTGACATAGATACTCTCAATTAACCCTTCTTTGATGAAGGGTACAAGAATTGGACCAAAAAGGTGATTGTTTGAAAAGCCCAGAGATATTGGAAGCAGGCTACAAATGCTATTGGGTATCTCTTTTGTAAGTAGATTGTTTGAGAGGTTAAGCACATTGAGGGACTTCAAATTTGAAATTGACTCAGGAATGGTAGAACCAAGCATGTTTCCCTGCAAGGATAGCTGGCTCAGTTTCCTTAGGTATCTAATCTTAGATGGAATTGAACCAGAGAAGAGACTGTTGCCAAGGTCTATCCTGACTAACTTGTTAGCCTCAGAGATCACAAATGAAATATCTCTGGAAAACTGATTGCTTTGTAGGATCAATGAAGTTAAATTCTTTGCATTTCCAATAGAATTTTTCACAATTTCTTCAAATTGGTTGAAGCTAAGATCAATAAGAGAAACATGAGGAAGTTCAAATAGTTTTCTTGGCACCCTTCAACTGGTTGTTATTCACTCTAAACCTCAGCAAAGACTGACATCTCTCATAATTTTTCGGCAATTCCCCTGAAAATGGTTGTCAAACACCAAGAAGTACAAAAACTTTCCTGCAGTGCAGGTTTCACTTGGAAGCTTACCAAGGAATTGATTCTCTGAAGTCTCCAGCACCTTCAACTCTGAGAACTTTCTCAATGTGGGAGGAAGTTCTCAATGAAAAAAAATTCTTGTACAGAGACAAGATGGTTAGCTATGTCAAATTTCGAAGTGCCGGTGAGATTGGCTTAGTAATTTTATTGCAATAGAGTTGCAAAACCTTGAGCTTTTGCAGCAAACAGAGGCTCACAAGTACTATACCAGTCAGCTTATTCCCAGACAAGTCAATATGCATGAGCTTAGGTAGGTTTCCAAGTTCCTTTGGTATTTCATCTTCAAAAAACTGTAGTAAAGCTCCAAAAGCTAGAGGTTCTTCATCCTTCCAATGGTTGTCGGAATCCGACCAACAAGCAAATTGCCACTGAGCTCAAGGTCAGTAAGTCATGTCATGTTCGCAATCCATGGTTGGACTTCTCCTCTCATAGAGGTGGTAGACATGATCATTACCCTGAGCTTCTTCAGCTTAGTTATAGTCTATGGTAGCCACAAGATATTGAAATTTGGGTTCTCATTGAAGTTAACAACCTCAAGTTTAGTGATATTAGTGATGGAGAGTGGACATTGACCACAAAGGCAATTGCTGAGAGTTTTAGAACACGAAGAGTGTAGAGAGAGGAGATATTTGGGATGGTTCCTCCGATGCCAGAATTGGTGAGGTTGAGCTCCTGTAGATGAGAACAGTTAAGAAGGTCAACATGGAGGTCGCCATGGAGGTTGTCGAAACCCAGTCTGAGTACTCTGAGCATTGGCAGTGAGAGGTAGAGGGTGGAGGGAATGGTGTCTGTTAAAGACATGGAAGAGAGGCCAATCTCGACGACGTTGTGGTGGCAATCATCGTCACAGGTTATGCCGGAGATTCTACAATAGTTTCTAGCAGCAAGGTTCCGGTGGGAGATGGGTTGGCCGGAGAGGGATTGCTTGATTTCCATGAAGAAGTTGGATTGGGGATGCGAGAGAGATAGGAGAGGGAGGAAGCATAGGAGGAGGAATTGAGTGAGAGGCATTGTTAGAGCGTGAGTTTGATGTTGATACTGGCTTTCATACTTAGATGACGCAGAAGAGAGCGGGTGGCATGAGCTATTTATATTTGTCTGTTTGTGTGTGCGTGTCTTAAAAGGAGAGAGGGAGCAGGAGAATCACCATTGATAAAAAAGAGGATGATTAGCTTTTATTTAATTGAATGCTCGAGCTTCTTTTATTGTTTTTTTTTAAATTTTTTAATTAATTAATTAATTTTGAAGATTCAGATACATGCCTCTCAATTTCCATCTATTTACATATCTAACATCAAAATTATAATTTTTACATGCATTTTATATTACTTATGAATGAAAATATATGTTTCATTTTTAATCATCAAAATAGTAAATTTTGAGGTGATGTAAAATATTTGGATGGTATAAATAAAAAAAAGGTAAAATTTTGGTGTTAGATATATAAATCTTATGAATTGGGTGGTATTTATGTTAATGCCCTTTTGGAAAGAAGAAAGGAATGTTAAAGTTGGCTTTTGGGTTTTAATGCTCGCTGATGCCTTTTGCACAAACTTAGAGCTAAGTGATTGATTTCCTTGGCTTTATTTCAAGATAATAAAACTAAATAACATATAAGATTAATATTAAAAATTGTTGGAATATTAAATTTTTTTATCAAATGAATTAAACATTGGTTTTAATTTTCTTAAATATTTTATTTTAAATAGTCATCCTTGAAATTTTATTCCTTTTTCTAGGTATTTATTTTGGAAAAATCTTAAGAGCTACTCATCTTGTCATCTAATTTGCATACCTATCACTTCGATAGACTCTGAGAAACTATTCGGTATGACGTACGTAATAGACTATAGCGACTTGTCAATACTTATTCTCTAGCCAAATACGATATTTGAAGCAGTCAATTGCATTCTAACCATGATTATGTGGAGAAAACAATGACACCCACAAAAACAAAACATTTAGGAGACTGTTGTGTTCAGCTATCAGAAAGTTATTCCCAAGCTAAGTTGATTCAAATGCCACTATGTATAGTCTATGTGGGAATGTGTTAAGTATTATTTGTTAACAAAGTAGAGATTTGCTCAGCTCATTGTTCATTATGCCACCTTTTCTAATGGATGATCACATGAAGTGGTCCCACCAAACGATTCCAACCTACTTACACATGCCAAACACCAGAAGACAACTTTTAATCACAGCCATACAATCTCATTCCCCTCTTGTTTAAAGTCTGAAAAAAAAGTGCAAGTTGGAGAATGTCAGAGTAGCTAGAGCATTTCCAGGTACATGTAAGTTCAACAAAGGCACCAGATGCTCCATAAATACAAAGCTTCATTTCCTAATGATTCTTCAAAGGATTTCCAGATCGAGAGTTGAAAACAAGGAAGACATGACGAGGGAAAACAATTCTTTTAGGAGATATAAAATTGTTTGCTAAGTAATGCTTTCTCAGCCAGTAGTAGAATCTAGTGCTTATAATCTTGTAATCATGAGAAAAATTTTGGATTTATTGTTGAACTGTTGTTACTGGGAGTGAATGATGTTCTGCCATCGTCTAATCATGTTGTGCATAGCTCTCTTAAGAGCTGGACAACCTCATTCATCGATGGCCGAAGTGATAGTATACTGCAGGTACGACGCAGTGCTACCTGCAGCATCTTCAACATCTCTTTCCTGAAGGGACTCCATGCCAGTTTTTTATCCAAAACATCCAATGACCCATTTTGATTTTGCAACTTGCTCTGGACCCAAGAAACGACGTCCATGCTTTCCCCAAACCCAACTTGATTTGGCTTCTTCCTTGTTATCAGCTCTAATAGTACAACACCAAAGCTGTACACATCAAACTTGGTAGTCACTTTAGATGAGTAGACATACTCTGCAAAGTGAAGCGAGTTATTTAAAAGAAGTATTTTTAAGGATTATAGTAATATTTGCAAGTAAGTTGGCTACCTGGGGCCAAGTAACTGTAAGTGCCAACAATAATAGTTGTGGATAAGCAGTCCTCAATTCCTGCTTGCAAGACCTTAGCTATTCCAAAATCAGCAATCTTTGGTTCAAAATTTGCATCAAGGAGTATGTAGGAGCTCTTGATGTTGCGGTGCACGATCGGGAACAAGAGATCATGATGAAGATAAGCTAGGCCTTGTGCAATCCCGAGCGCGATCTTGCGCTTTTTTGGCCAGTTCATGAAGCTGCAGTGATTGTGAAGAGCATCCCAGAGATTGCCATTTACCATGTATTCATAGATGAGAAGATGACATTTAAAGCTTGAGAAGCAACAGTAGAGCTTTATAATGTTTTTGTGTCTGATGCTTCCTAAAGACTCAATCTCTGCCCTCAATTCTCTCTCAAGGCAAAATTTTTGTGTTGTCATGATATTCTTCACAGCTACACACTCCCCATTGCTAGCCTCAATCTTATAAACTGTTCCAGATCCTCCAAGACCCACAATGTTCTTATCAATCAATGCTGTGGGGATCTCATGCTGGCCGAAGTTGAGCTTTTGGAAACTCGTTACATCATAGGAGTAAAAGGAAGATGATGAGCGACAATTGATGACCTTGTTCTTTCTGTTAGAGCAATGCATAACGAATAATAAGATTGCAAATATTGGCAGAATTGCAGAGATTGAAATAACCCAGATGTTTATCATCAGCCTGCTGGCTTTTGACTGTTGACAAATAGGAAGATTAGGCTTGGTATGGTTCAGATTGATCGGAATGCAAAGATCTGGATTGCCGGAGAAACTATCAATTAACCCTTCTTTGATGAGGGGTACAGGAATTGGACCAGAAAGGTGATTGTTTGAAAAGTTTAGAGATATTGGAAGCAGACTACAGAGGCTGCTGGGTATCTCCCCGGAGAGTAGATTGTTTGAGAGGTTAAGCACATTAAGAGACTTCAAATTCGAAATTGACTCGGGAATGGTAGAACCAATCATGTTTCCTTGCAAGGATAGCTGACTCAGTTTTCTCAAGTATCCAATCTCAGATGGAATTGAACCGGAGAAGAGATTGTTGCTAAGATCTATCCTGACTAAATTAGTAGCCTCAGAGATCTCAGGTGGGATTTCTCCCGAAAACCGATTGCTATGCAGGAACAATAAAGTTAAATTCTTTGCTTTTCCAATAGAACTGTCCACAGTTCCTTCAAATTGGTTGAAGCTAAGATCAATAATAGAAACATGAGGAAGTTCAAATAGCTTTCTGGGCACATAACCCTTCAACTGGTTGTTGTTCACTCTAAACCTCAGCAGAGACAGACATTTCTCATAATTTTCTGGCAATTCCCCTGAAAAATGGTTGTCAAGCACCAAGAAGTATAGCAACTTGCCTGCAGTGCAGGTTTCACTTGGAAGTTTACCAAAGAACTGGTTCTCTGAAATCTCCAACACCTTCAACTCTGAAAACTTTCCTAGAGTGGGAGGAAGCTCCCCTGAAAAAAAATTCTTGTACAGAGACAAGATGGTTAGTGATGTCGAATTTCCAAGCACCGGTGAGATTGGACCAGTAAGTCTATTGCTATAGAGCTGCAACACCTTGAGCTTTAGCAACAAACAGAGGCTCTCAGGTATTCTACCAGTTAGTCTATTCCCAGACAAGTCAATATCTATGAGCTTAGACAGGTTTCCAAGTTCCTCCGGTATTTTATCCTCCAACAAATTGTAGTAAAGCTCCAAAAGCTGGAGGTTCTTCATCCTTCCAATGGCTGCCGGAATCTGACCAACAAGCAAATTGCCACTGAGCTCAAGGTCAGTAAGCCATGTCATGTTCGCAATCCATGGTTGGACTTCTCCTCTCATAGATGTAGTAGAAAGGATCATTACCTTGAGCTTCTTCAGCTTCGTTATAGTCTCTGGTAGCCACCAGATATTGAAGCCCGGGTTCTCGTTGAAGTTAACAACCTCAAGGTTGGTGATATTAGTAATGGAGAGTGGAAACTGACCAGAAAAGTGATTGTTTGAGAGGTCTAGAACACGAAGAGTGAAGAGAGTGGAGATATCTGGGATGGTTCCTCCGATGCCAGAATTAGTGAGGTTGAGCTCTTGTAGATGAGAGCAGTTCAGAAGGTCAGCAGGGAGGTCGCCATGGAGGTTGTTGAAGCCCAACCGGAGTACTCTGAGCATTGGGAGGGAGGTGCAGATGGTGGAGGGAATGGTGCCTGTTAACGACATGGAAGAGAGGTCAATCTCAATGATGTTGCGGTGGTGATCATCATCGCAGGTTATTCCGGAGAACCTGCAATAGTTTCCGGCGGCGAGGTTCCAGTGGGAGATGGGTTGGCCGGAGAGGAATTGTTTCATTTCGATGAAGAAGCTAGATTGGGGATGAGAGAGAGATAGAAGAGGGAGGAAGCATAGGAGGAGGAATTGAGTGAGAGGCATTGTTGCAGTGGTTGTTAGAGCGGGAGTTGGTTGTTGATGATGGCTTCCATGCTTGAGATGAAGCATAACAGAGAGCGTGTCATGGGCTATTTATATTTGTGTGTTTGTGAGGTAGAGAGAGAGAGAGAGAGAGAGAGAGAGAGAGAGAGAGAGAGTAGGAGAATCATCATTAGCTACAACAGAAGTAAAGAAAGAAGATAAAAAGAGGAGAGAGAGAGAGTAGGAGAATCATCATTGGCTACAACAGAAGTAAAGAAAGAAGATAAAAAGAGGTTGATTAGCTTTTATGAAATTGAATGCTGAGGCTTTTGTTTTTAAAATTTTTTAAATTTTATTTAATTTTTTTAATTAATTAATTTATTTTGAAGATTTAGATGCATATCTCTCAATTTCTATCTATTTACAAATCTAACATCAAAATTATATTTTTACAAACATTTCATTTTATTCATGCATGAAAACATGTGTTTTGTCTTAAATAGTCAAAAATAGCAACCTTTATGGTGATATAAAATATTTGGATGGTATAAATGAAAATAAAAATTTAAATTTTGGTGTTAGATTTATAAATCTTATAAATTAGGTGGTATTTATGTTAATGCCTTTTTGGAAAGAAGAAAAAAAAAATGCTAAAGTTGGCTTTTTGGGTTTTAATGCTCGCTGATGCCTTTTGCACAAACTTTGCGCAAAGTGATTATTTTCGTTCGCTTTATTTCAAGATAATAAATATAAATAACATTAAAAATTGTTGGAATATTACATTTTTAACAAATGAAATAAATCATGGTTTTAATTTTTTTAAATATTTTATTTTAAATTGGCATCCTCTTTATTTTATTTTTTTTATCTTCATATGTAGATAAAAAAAATCAGTAATTGTGTAGGACTTTATCAAATTTGGGAGCAGCAGCTGCAGTTTTGGCCCTCCTTTTTAAGAAAAAATATTGCATCAAGACTCCGTTATGTGCGGAGTTCAATGAAATCACTCTACGTGGAGGTGACAGAAAAAAAAATCAACCCGGTAACGCTGGAGAATATTCTCACGTGTTATTACGTGTTATTCAGGTGTTATTGTATACTGCATTTTTGGCCCTCCTTTTTACGAAAGAAATATAGCATCAAGGCTCCGTTAATATTCCCACGTGTTATTACGTGTTATTCAGGTGTTATTGTATGTTATTCAGGTGTTATTGTGTTCTGAAAATATTTTCGGTGTTATAATAACACAATAACAAGTCAATAACATTTGAATAATACACAATGACACCTGAATAACACGGGAGCAATATTCCCTTATGTTACCAGACAGTTTTTTTTTTTCTGTCATCGCCACGTGACATGATTTCATTGGACTCGCACGTAACTTTACGTGTGGAGTCCTGATGCAATATTTTCTCTCTTTTTTACTACCTTTCTTTTTGAAATTTTCTTAGATTTGTGATTTTAAAATTCATCAGCCTACATTGATCTTAGCATCATGTTCTCTAAGGGCTTGTTAGGTGGAGAAAATAATACATCTGGAGTCCAGATGGAAACTGGGTCCAGCAAATCGGACGCGATGCACAGGGAGGTCGTCTTTTTTCCCTCCACTTTCTACATGCGTCGCATCCGGTGTCTGGACTCCGAACGTAATATTTTTTCCATTAAGCGACTTATGAATAAGCAAATTTACATTTAAAACGAAAAATTTTATCCTCCACTAGCTTAAGTGTTAAAAAAGTAGGAATTTTTAAATAACTAACACCTAAAACATATTAATTCACAAAATGAACATCAAAACTTAAATACTTGGGTAATAAACACCCAAAACTTCCCACTGCTTCAAACATCCACTCTCTATTATTTCTCAAATGTCTTACCTATTCGCTCGCCTCTATCTCCCACCCCAACATTTTCTATCAACCCCATCTCCTTTCCCCATCGATCGCCATTACATAGTGTCCAACAAGCCGTTACATGGCCTCAATTGTGTATCAAACATTTCATAGTCATTTGCAGAGCAATCTCATAGCCCGCCCCTAGTTCGTTGCATACCTCGTTCTCTCGTGTTTCTTTTCATTTAGTCGTGCTTTGTTAATATAGATTTATACGGTGATCGATCCTTTGCTCTAAATATTAATTTTTCTTGATTTTTGCAGTCATACATGTCTGATGATTTGTGCCAACAATTGATTTTTGCATAATTTTTACTATGATATTACACATTCTTATAAAATTGAGAGGATGGCACCAAAAATCTTCACAATGAGATCAGGTTCTATAGTTTCTCACTACCATCCTCTCCAAACTCATTTACTTTCTAATAAGAATTATAAGCTTATATAGTAACTTAGTTTTATTTCTAATGATTCTGAAACATGTTTCAGAACACACACAATCTATATATAAATATAGATATGTGTATATGTATGCATGTAAATGTATATATATGTATATACATCATATTCATAAATGTAATTTAGAATATATTTACTTTTTATAAAGGTTAAAATATTAAAAGACAATTTTATAGTCATTTTTTTTCATTTGGATATATGAAAATGAACATTGCATTTTGTGTATGCTATGTTCCCATGATCAGATGGTGTGAAAGAAAAAAATGATGCCTCCAATTTTTGGTCAGAGTTGTCATTGCATTTATGATATAATTTTTGAATGCTTATTGTATGTTATATATGTATAGAGTCATAATGTCTCTGTACATTTCAAAGTGTATGTGATGTTTCAAATCTAGGAAATTGTAGTTATTATGAACATATGTTATTGATGTTGTAACCATCAATGTAGTTTTATTTGTGGATATTTTATTAAGTTTTTTTATATTTACTTCTTAGTTGTAGATTATTTTTTTCACTTATGGGGAGATTGATTTCATCAAGAACGACTTCGATAAACACTTGTTTCTTTTCTTCATCATATCCATATAATCAAGCAAAACATATACTAGAGGTTATTCTAATAAAGAAGCTCTATGATTTGAAAGCTTCAATCTCTTCTACTACTAGATCAACCAAATATTTATTTGTTCAATATCCAGACACAATAGTAAACTACTTGTCTTCTAATTTATATAACAATTATAACAAAATTTCAAAATACAAAATACGCTCTGTAACTGATATAGGTCTGATACACTTTCATTGTGTGGTCTAACAAATCATTCAAAATACGATTTCTCATCATATTAGTCTAAAAGCCATACCAGGGTCTTATAATCCTTCATGCTTGGGAAGAACGAAACAAGAAGAACCACAAACTATTGAATTTGAAACATACATTAATGATATTTCACATCCAATGGAATGGATTTCTTTGGAGGATTACTTGGTAAAATTCCTTGTTTTCTTTCCTCAAGAGAACAGTTACTAAAGAAGACCGCATTAAATTGTCTATGCATGAAAAGGTTTATTTCACCCTTTAGAAGTTGAAATGACATTTTTGTTTTAATGTTACATGAAATGTTTGAGTCATAAAAAATGTCAAAAAAGAAAGGTTCAGATGTTATATATGTAAATACATAAGAACTGGGTGATATGTATGTAAATGTTCTAATAAAAAAACATAAGTAAAGCTCATAAGAATGCACTATGCCACTTAATAGTCTTAAGCACAATGAATGACACCTCTAAATACCATTCATAAATCAAAATCAGCGCATTTTCAAGCCATAGAATAGTGTCATCATCACAAAATCTACAGTCTATTCAAGCCAAAGAAGAAGATTTCAGAAAATGAGAAAATCTAGACTATAAGATTCCATGAATGTTCATATCATCACATGTTCTCATATTTAAGTTCATTAACCAAGCTCTCGAACATAAGAGGACTTGAAGAACGCAAGAAGTATAACACTCAGTTTTGAGAAAAAAAATTTGAAATAAACCAAATTTTTTCGTTCCCGAAATTTGGTGGAATGAATTTTATAAAATTTTACATGTCAAATTGATCAATTTTACATGTTGCAGTATCTATGAATTATAAATGCATGGGGATATATAAAAATATGAATTGAAAGATCAATTAAGTTTAATTATGCATTTATGTACCTTTGCTAATCTCGACATTGTAGCAGCTGTAGCAGCTGATCCTCTCCCGTACTAAACAGTGCATGCAAATTTTGTGATGAAATCAGATGGCTATGATTGAATTGAATATATGTTAAATGCTGCAATCTCCCACTTCCCTTCTCTCGATTCTTCCTCCTATCAGAGACCCGACGCTTGGATACTGTAGCATGAACAGTCTGGGAGACCCATAGGGAGTCGTAGCTCATGGTTAAGGTTTATGTTTAGGGGTTAAATCAAGTCATAAGTAATAATTTCATGCATGTTATGAGGGGTTTATGTTTCTATCTGGTTTACTCTAGGAAGTAAGCTCGAGGAAACCCGTCGTAGAGTTGCTGCATCGATTCAGACGAAAAAATTTTGTATTAAATTAAGAATAATAACATAAAGTAGGATTTATACATGGTTTCTTTTAACATATAAATGCATTATAATTTTTTTCATGATGTCAAAGATCTGCACATTAAACTAATATTGATGACATTATAATTTTCCTGTTGTATTGATATGATGAGCATGTTTATAAAGGTATTCCTATCATGTGGTTATGCATATGATTTATAGTTCAACTATGATGAATGTTTGTTACAGAAATTATGATTACAGAAATGAAATAAGTGTTATGATATGTCGATTATTACATGAATGTTTGTAAATACAGATAATGGAGAATGATAAGATTCTTAATTTCTGGTATTCAAAAGAGAACATATCTGAGCACTGTTGAGATCAGACAAGGATGAAAGCCAAAGAACCGCTGGCATCAGGGAGTTATTGATAGCTGCTATATTTAGAGGAGCTCAATCTTTATTAATAATTAATTTAGTCTTTGGGTTGGGTGATAACCTAATGACATGAAATGATATGAAAGTTTTCAAAGCCTATAAAATTACAATTGACATTCCTATGTTTACAATGATTGATTATGACAATCTCATGGATATGTTCATGATTGCACATGAATAGATAAAACACATGTTTTATACAACTATCATGATTTGCTGCATTTCATGTCTATATTAAGATGTTTTACATGATTAGTGAATTTTTTAAAATTTAAATCCTATATTCCACCCAAAAAAAAATTCATTTTAATTACAATTGGGCGGTGGTGGGATCTAAGATGAGGCAAGGATAAATAGTCCCCATGTAACAAAAAAAAGCGAAAAGGAGGAGGATTAATGTCACCCAAGGTATTGTGTGAGGAAATGCCCAATCTAGCCAACCAATTAGCAGGTTGATTACCTTCATGGGAAACATGTGTCCACTTGATGGCTTTGTCTTGAAGAAACATGTTAACGCTCCTAAAAATGCATATTATGAATCAAGTAACTGTATTGCCAATTGCATATTTTTAGTAAAATGATAGAGTCCATCTAAATGTGCAAATTCTGGAGGTTCAACCATTATGCTACCAAAATAGTAGCCACAATGCAACAACTTCTACAAGAAGAGGGGAGGAAGCAGGAATAAGAGAGGAGATGAAAGTAGGGCACTTACCAAAGTGATCTCTTGGAACAACTACACTACAAGCAACATTTGTTTGGAAGCTGGCATTAATATTGATTTTATTGCACTACATCTAAGATTTCTCAAAAAGAAAGCTTAAGGATTAAAGTTTTTTGCTGCCACAACTAGCACACTCTCCAAAAATACACTTGAAAACATCCATGTACTTGTATTTCATCTTCCCAAATTTAGCAATTTTATGTAAACAAGCAATGATGTGCAAATAAGTGCTGGTTTCTTAATATTGTTCTTGTTTATAGTTGTTCCTTGAAGTCCAAATAAAACAAACCACATTTCGAAGAGTTATACCTTCCACCATGGAGCTAGATGCGCACCACCTAGTAAGGCAAGGATTTAGAATTTTGCAATCAAAGGAACAAAAGAAAAGCTATTCTAATATTTTCCAAACATCCATAAAATAACTGAAAGATAAAAAAAATGGTTAGCAAACTCTTCATCAAGTTTGCACAAGGGGCAAATGGAGGGGAGCCTAAGCCTAAGTTTTAGAATGTCATTAGTAAAGATGATGGAATGAAAAAATTTCAAAATAATAATAAAAAAAATTATTGAAGGGTTAAGATACACCATTACAGATTTTCTTCCCTCAAGGAAGAACCATGTATTTTTCTATTTCAAGAAGAAGGTTTTGGATAGAGAAACACCAACATGTCCCTTAACATGAGGTTGACTTATGTAATTTAACTCAACTAGAAGCTTCAGAAATAAGCTTGGCTCATTAATTTGATTAGCCAATTTATCAAGCAAGTACAAGTCATTCATATTAAACCCTCTGTTAATATACAATAAATTGATGCACCAGTCACTTCAACACCACTATTAAGAAGTTTGATCCGTACTTTATTTTTGCTTAGTACATTATACTTTTTAATTCCTATATAGCTCTTGTATACTAAACCTTTAGCTAGCCCAATCTAAATTTAGATGGATGACCATGAATTATAGATGAAGAGATGAGGGGACAAATCTAGAATCATTGAATAAATAGATTTATGGAGATTCAATGGTTGATTCCATTCATAACAATAAAATCTCATGACTCATTTTTTCTCTCTCAATTCTAAACTCTCCACTCCCACCTAACAGAACTCTTTCATAGGAGGCATGTACCCATTAACATTCCAAGATCCAATAGGAGCACTCCCAAGATATAATTGAGTCCAACCAAGAAATTTTTCATTTTAAATCTTCAATTTTATCTTAGATTTTTTTCTTAAATACTAATTTAAAAGAGTTAAGATTTACATAAATTCCACTCAATTCATATGTATTTACATATATATACCACTTAAATTTCAATGTTCACATCCATTTCTTCTTTTATGTGCATAAAAAGATAGATATATTTCGGTTTTGAAAAGTTAAAATAATGATATTTTTAATGTGATATGAAAAAATTTAAGTGATATAATGTAAAAAAAGTAAAGTATATATCTGATATATAAATTCATAAGAATTATATGGTTTGTATGTAAATTCCCTTATAAAATAATAATATAATTACACATTGTGAAAGATAAAATATTTTTTTTGCGGAAAAGATGAGCCCAAATAATAATATACATAATTCAAACTCAACTTCAAAACCATTCTGCTACGACAATAGGAAAAGAAAGGTAATAGATTTCTTATGTATCCTCCCCAGCTCTACTTAAATTTCCAAAAGCCAGCCAACTCCTCGATCATTTTCGATAAAATATTACATCCGGATTCTAGACCCGTAATTTACATCCCGAGTCCAATGGTGGGGCGCCATGTGTCAAGTGGGCCCCACCACAATACAAAAGCGCTGCGATGGGGCCACTTAACACTTGGTGCCCTCCCATTAAACTCCGGATGCATCTGGAGGAGACCGGATGTAATATATTTTCATCAATTCCTTCTCATATAAAAATCTTCTCTTTAGAAATACCAAGTACCTATATCTTCACGAGGCGACCCCTTGCCATCCACCTCACTTCTTCTCAAAAGACCCTTCTTCCAACTTGCCATCGCCGGCGGCCGCTCGCTGGCCGGCAATCTCCTCGAGCATATGGACCACAATCCTCATAGGCGGGCGCATCCCGGGCTCACCGGCAGTGCACAGCAAAGCAATTCTAAGCACACGAATTGCTTCCTTCTTCTCGGATGCCAGCAATATGTGCTCATCAATCAATCCCAACACACCACCATCTCGGCTCCTGATCCTCCCCGCAACCCACCGGACAATGTCTTTGTCCTCCCCGAAATCTTTCTCCACAGGCCTCCTTCCTGTGACAAGCTCAAGCAGCACAACTCCGAAGCTGTACACATCGCCCTTCTCCTCCACCTTCCATGTGTACGCGTACTCTTCAATCAAATTAAAAAGTTGTCATTAGCCCTCACTCAAATTAAAAGAGAAAAACTACAAAGGAGACATTCAGCCACTATTTATAACTAATTGTTTTCATTGCTGAAACTCATGGGGAGGTAAGAAAAGCTGACAGACATGGTCTATGGAAACAAAAATTCTGTCAACATGTCTTAAATAAAATTTTGATGAAAATAAGCATCAAAGCTCTTGAATATACTGTCAATAAGTACAATACATAGTTGATTAATATTGAACTAATCTTTTGTAAGAGATTCAAACCATACATTTCTCTTGAAATACTGCGACAGCAAAATCAGAAAATATGCCAGTTAAATTTAGGATAAAAAAAAAAAAAAACTTTTTCTATAATAATTATGCTAGTGATTAAAACCTTTTTTTTATATGATCAAAATCGATAAATTCGTAAGGGGGACACATGATTAAGAAGATGGTGAGCTGGGTGAAATACCTAAACTGAGAAATTAGAAGAAACTGAAAAAGTAATGTTCAATTTGAGTTAGATTTGCACTTTGATAATTTGAATAGTTTAATCTAATTTTGAACTGAATTTGTATGAACAGAATAAATTTGAATTAAACTTAAATCTACACATAAGGGGAGATGCGTGCTAGAAGACTCGTTATGGTAGAATGATTACTTAGTATCTTAGTGTTGTACGGAAATCCAACACACATACTCAAATAATAAATATGACAGGTAGAAACACCACAAATTTTGGAAAGAGTTGCACAATTATAGTGCTCGTATATAGAAGGAATCCTCACACAACGGCCTGGATAGGTTGCAGTTGTTGGAACTTAGTTGCGCCACCTTTGAAGTGTGTGTTGTTGCATGGTGTTTAGGATGACGTGCTGCTCCGTAGAATACTTTGTTGCTCTTCGACGCTGGTTACAACTTTGCACAGAGTTTTACGAACAATTGAGCGCCTTAAAGGTGTTAGAACGGAGTTCATTGGATTTGACTTATCGAGAAGCTCAATTTGACTATAAACTTATTATATTTGGAATTTGTTTGATCTTCCAATTGGCCACTAGAAGCTTCCAAAAATAGTTTAACGACTTCACCAGGGCATGATTTGACTCAGATTAGGTCAATGTTGGTGTTATTACTTTCGTCCCCTTGAGCTAGTCAATTTAATTATAAGTTTGCTGACATTAAATCTCTGAATAATTTTTAATTGAAGTTTGAATATTTCTTACTCAAAAAATTATCTAGAGAATCATGTCACAACTTAAGATCCATGTCAAATAATGAACTGTCCGATGGGCTGGATCATGTTGTGGGCCTAGCACAATGTGTTGTGGGTCCGACGAGTTACCAAGTCGAAGCTTTAGCTTCAAGGTGGAACATGAAGCTTTTGGGTCATCACATTACAAGTCAAGTGTGTTGTATCATAAGTCTAGTGGGTAATCGGGTCGGAGTGTCTCACTGCTTGGTAAAACGGGTAATTTTCATTGCACGGGCCATTGGTCACAATCAGTGGGACGCAAATCTGAAGGCGACAATCGGGTGGGAGGGGGGGGGGGGGGTCATAGATTGAAAGACTAACATCCGCCTGCACGGGATCGTGCATGACGATGCGCGATCAGTTAGATCCATGCGGGTGTGCGCAAATTAGTTTAAATCAAGTGGTGGGCACTATTTTGGTAGTATTCCAGTGTTCTTTCCCCAAATGTAGCATTTTTTGTTCAATTTGTGGTTCTTTCAAGCTTATAAATATGCCAAAAAGAAGAGGAAAAAGGTGGAGTCTCCCCGCCTATTTATGCGATCGATGAAGCTCACCTTTAATGTTGATGTTGCCCACTTCGGGGTCTACTTGCTAATTTGTGCGATCAACAGAGCTCTATTTCACGTTGTCGTTGCACTTTTTGAATGGATTTTTTGAACTGTGATCACGCTTTCTTGGGTATATTTTTTGCAATGAAAGATACAAATGTCTGGTAATCCCCCCCACCCATCCCTCCCGCTAAAAGGAAAGAAAAATCTAAAATTACGAGGAGATTAAGTCGAACCTAATAGAGGCTAATTTGGTACTATTTTAAAAGAAATTTTAACTCATGAATGATATGGCGGTGAAGATTCTTGCTCTGATTGATCGAGTCCACTCTCCTCCCACCTGGTGCATAGCCATTTATTAGGTAACCTTGTGGGTTGACTTGTGACTTCTTCCAACTATCATGTTGATCGATATTTTAAAAGATGCCTCGCAACTTTCTTGTTTGTTGGTGACAATCTTCATCAAGTTGATCGCCTTTTTTAGAAAAACATGACTTGAAGTTGACACAAAAGATTTAGTTGTGTTGGGAGGATTTGTTAGTGAATCACATGGCCGTGTGTCCTTCAAGAGAAAGAGATTGATGTTTCATGCAAGGATCTGATAAGACATCGGACCACTAAATTTTTTGGGCAAAATGATTGGGATTTTTGCGAGGAAAGGGGAAAATGTAGCATATGCATATTTCTACTCATATCACTGAAAACAAAATAATATGAATGGTCAAATTTCAAGATTTCAACTAGATGTCGTTCGAGATGTACTTTGTCTATGAATTTGTGAATGAGGGATTTTCGTTCATGGTCAGACTTTACTTTCATCCTAAGTGATCTTTTTGCAGTGATTCCTGGAGAACTTGTTGGATGATTCGATACTCTTCGATTCGAATGAGAAGTTTCTATACCATACCAAATACTTCACCAACTATAAATTGCAGGTGTCAAAGACCCCTTCTACTTAGGATGCAATGGACTAGGAGTTAGTGTGGATGGTGAAGTTTTGCATCCCACAATCGATGGTGAGTTTCAGCACGTAGACGAGGGCTTCATACTAGGTAATATTATTGGTGACAGAAAATTTTAAGTGGAGTCTGTACTCCAAGACGTCCTACTTCAGATAGATCAATAGTACCACAACACCAGCTCTAGAGCTTTTGGATGCTCCATCTACATACTAATTCTACTGACGTGATACCATAGGAGAAAGACGTTTCTTGTCAGAAGCATGTATGGTGCATTCAACTACAAAGTCAACCAGTATTTGTGACTTGATGTCCAATCGAAGTGGTACTGAATGACAACCTCTCTAAACTTCCCTGATCATTTGATTAACCATCCAAATGCTTCTGGCCTTTACAGAATGCCCCTTACAGGAGCTGTGTGTGGACTAGAGCTGTCAAAACGACTTGTTGTTCGCGAACAGCTCATGTTCGACTCATTAAAAAGCTCGTGTTCGGCTCATTCGCTAAGTTAACGAGCCGAACACAAACACCACAAACAAATATTTGTTCGTTCGTGTTCGGCTTTTGTTCGTGCTCGGCTCGTTCTTACTTATATATATATATCTTTGATGAATGGTATTTAAAAAAAAAAAATTAACTATAAGGCTAAGAAGATTTATAATCAATTAAAAGTATTAATGAATAAAATAAAATAAAAAGTATTAATTTAGGTTCAAATGATTTTTAAATCTTGCCCCAATCCTTAACATCTTATGGCTACGTGATTAGGGTTGTCAAAACGACTCTTTTTTCGGCTCGCTAAACAAAAGAGGTAAACACGACAA